CCCCTGCCTTCACCCTGAGTCAGCTGGGATAGACTCCAGCCCCCCATGACCCTAGTGAGGATTAAGTGGTGTATAGATGATGGATGGATAAATAAAGCCTACATTTATCCCCGAAAAAAATTATATTAGGCCTGTCCAAATTCAAAGTGTATACTTCTTCCCACTCCTTTTTCAGACTTGTTAATGTTATGATTTGATTATTCTTTTATGCTCTTTTTAAAATGATTTTCTTTTGTTTTAAGATTTTTTCCCCTTTCATTTGCTCAAAATAAATTCAATTCATTCGTTCATTCCAAAGAAAATGAACATGTTAATGTAAAGAGATGAATCTGTGGAGTTAACACATTACTTTTTAACACATTAATACATGAACAACAAAGTTATAACTTGTGGGATATTGAAAATTCAAATTGGGGGGTTACGAACACAAACTTATGTTATCTTGGGGGTCAAAAAGTTTGAGAACCACTGTCATAAATAACAGCGTGTCTTTGATATTTGGATCCAGAATTGAGGAACTCCAGCTATTACCACTAAAACACCGAAAACAATAAAGAATAAAGCAGGTGACATTTCAAATAAGGCTTAAGAACATTTATTCAAAGACAGGAATGTGTGACAAATCATAGTCTATTAAATATGTTTTAGAAACCAAAGAAAAATCGTTTCAGAATGATAAAATATATTGTCAAAATGGCCTTTCTGTTCATGTAAAGTTACCAGTAACACCTATAGTGGTGACTGTGCACTGTAAAAAAAAAAAGAACAGTTTTTAACTGTAAACAAGTTAAATGATTTACTGTTATTTTGCAGATTTTTTTCTGTGCGTACTACGGTGGTCGGGAAGTGCAAAACAAATATACAAGTGGAGAAACACTTTTACAAACTCCCGAAACAGTTTTACAAGTAAAATCAACCGGAAAGGGAATGTACCAACTCTGGGATTGAACCGGAAGTGGTAATGGGAGCAGCCAATAAGAGTTGTTGTTGTCATTTATGGAGTTCATGGAGACCCAAGATGGACGGCGACAGAGTGATGTTTTGCCCATTTTGTGGCAACACACACGAGCCGTTATTTGCTATGAGTGTAGTTGCCACTCCCCCGCCGCCGCCACCACCGCTGATGTTGGAAACAGAACTGTGACCGCGAACTGAAGTAGCACCAGCAGCCAAGTACTGCCTGTGTGTTCACTTCCACCCCGTCAGAGCGCTCCGACGGAGTGGAAGTGGACGGAACATGCACAAGGTCAAAGGCATGAAATCCAGCGATGAGTAGGGTTCTAGCAGTACACTACTTATTATAGCAACTATAAACAATAAATATTAACAACAAATGAACCTTCCAGCATCAAGCCCTCCTTGTATCTCCACCTCCGTCTTGACAATCCGACATAAAAGAAGGTTTTACATTTAGTGTCAGACAATCGAGTCACGACTGTCTTTTTGCTCATTTAAATACAGTAAATTGGTGTAATTTAACATTCAAATGTTGAAAAAGAATAAATTACAATTCAGATGTAGATATTATTCCTAGTTTGGGCCTGGTTTTAGTGTTAACATGTAGATCAGGGGTGTCCAATCCTGGTCCTCGAGGGCCGCAATCCTACATGTTTTAGATGTTTCCCTCTTCCTGATTCAAATGATCAGCTCATCATCAAGCTCCGCAGAAGCCTGATAACGATCCTGATCATGTGAATCAGGTGTGTTGGAAGAGGGAAACATCTAAAACATGCAGGATTGTGGCCCTCGAGGACCAGGATTCGACACCCGTGATGTAGATGAATACTTTTTTTCTGTGACTTTACTAGTTAGTAATTTAACATAAATCTGTAAAACAACAGTAGATTGTTATAAACATTACAGCTGCTTAGTTTATTTTTTTCTGTGTACCTGGTCAGATCATTCAAACTGGAGTTCCTACATC